AAAATTTGCGTTGCTAACTCGTCGTTGCAAACCAATATAGCGTTTCAATTCGTTGCAAATTGCAACGCTTTGCAACGAAATATTTTCGTTGCTATTTGCAACGCAATTATTTCGTTGCAAAAGCGTTGCAAAACGTTGCAACGCTTTTGCAACGAAAAAATGAGTTGCTAATTTTGCAACGAAATTGCGTTGCAAAATTAGCAACGCAATTTCGTTGCTAAAATTAATATAAAAGTTTATTTAAAAGTTATAAATTAAGGTTTATAAATAAATAATTAACAAAATAATAAAATAAATATTTAATAAAAATAATAAATATATTTTTATTTGATTTTTTTTAAGAGTTGGGGATAGAGAGAGGTTTTAGATAATTTTTAGAGTGAGAAATTGTTGATTGAATGTGTTTGGATTGTGTTTAGAAGTTGAATATATAGAAAAACATTGCAACGCAATTTCGTTGCAAATTTGCAACGAAATTGCGTTGCAAATCCAATTAGCAACGAAAATTCGTTGCAAAAGGCGTGAAAACCATAGTTAATCGCAGCCACAAATTTATTTTAAAATTTGTAACGCAATTTCGTTGCTAATTGGATTTGCAACGCAATTTCGTTGCAATTTTATAACGAAATTGCGTTGCAAAACCAAATAGCAACGAAATTGCGTTGCAAACTTATATATTTACTTTTTGACAGTCAAATCATATTAATTATTAAATAATAATTTTTGCAACGAAATTATTTCGTTGCAAAAGGAAATTCGTTGCTAATCGTTGTTGATTTCAAAGAAATAATTTTGCAACGATTTTGCAACGCTTTGCAACGCAAATATTGCGTTGCAAATTAGCAACGAAATTATTGCGTTGCAAAGCGTTGCTAATTGCAATAAAAAATTTTGCAACGATTTTTGCAACGATTTTGCAACGATTTTGCAACGCTTTGCAACGAAAAATTGCGTTGCAAATTAGCAACGAAATTTTTCGTTGCTAAAGCGTTGCAAAATCGTTTTCATTAAAAAACGTTGCAATTTCATTGCTAACTTTGCAACGAAATGAATTTCGTTGCTAATTTCGTTGCTAATGGCATGTTTTTTTGTAGTGAATTGTTATCAATCATATCAAATCTCCATAGTTTGTTTCTATTTCAACATTCTCCTCAAGATTGATTTTGAAATAATTCAAATATCAATCTTGAAAATAAAACAAAATGATGAAAAACTTCACTGTTATTAGAACAATCCATAAACACCAAATTTCATTCATTTAGAAAGTACTAACCTTTTTCAAATCACTTCGCTTGACTTTAAATATCTAGTTTTAACTCTTTTTGTCATAGCACATCGTTTGAATTTGTTTTTTTCTCCCCTTTGAACGATTTGAATATATGAACATTCAAAACGAAAAAGAAAGAAGAGATTAGAAAATTAGAAAAAGAGAAACATATAGTCCAGATCGCAACGCTACTCTGATGCCATATTGAAAAATAAAAAATAGAAATTAAATTAGAAAGAAAGAACTAAAGATAAAAGAACGGAAACACTTTTATATCTACATCTCTTCTTCTTGTTACATTATAATAAAAATAATCCATACATTTATAGGAAAAGTTATTTTTGTTTTTGTTAAACGTAAATTCTATGTATCCCCACGTGTTCCTGATAGAAGTTAATCGTCTCCTTGTTTGTAGTAAAATCTCCTTTGCTAGAACTTGTCCGGGTTTGGATTCCGATCTGTGTAGTCGTGCATTCCTTTCCCGCCAGATGTTGTAAATCGCCCCCTAGAATAACAGTAAAATCATAAGCTTCAAGCAGCGATCAACTGAGAGTTGGTCCAACCAACATGTCCAGCCTGCGAATGTAGTCTGCTCCGTGAGGCGTAGTCCTGAGTGCTCCAACAACGAGCTCCAGATGTGAGCTGTGTATGTGCAGTGGAAGAACAAGTGGTCCACTGATTCATGAGCCTGATCACAAATAAGACAATTCGGTAACACTTGCAATCCTCATCCTTGCATTCTATCTCTCATTGGTAGTCTGTTACGAGCAACCAACCAAGAGATAAAAGAATGCTTAGGGACAGATTTCTGGAACCAAATGACTTGATGCCAAAAAATCCTAGGTGGAGGCGTGTATAGTAACTGCCAAGACTTTGCATTGTGAATGGCCGAAGACCGGTCGGAGAGTAGGAGTCTGACCAGTAAAACATATCCTGCCGAGAAGAATTCAATGGTAGATTGAAATTTGTGAGGGCCAAATGAAGTGAAACCGACCAACCATCGACAGAGCAGACAACAGCTACAAGTCCATTTCTCGGGATCCCCAATCTGCGTGGACCTTCCTCGTCAATAAATATACGAAAGAAACAAATAAGGAAAAATATAATTGACACGATATATATATTTTATTCTTAGTTGATATTATGTCTTTAATTGTTATAATTCTCCATAGTTTGTTCTATTTCAACACGGGTACGTTACCTGTTAAATCATTCGTGTAGAATAAAAGAAGGGTTTTTCTCCTGAATTCTTAGAACAACAAACATGCAGAAGCAACGGAGGAATCTCTGCATGGGAATTCGACGTACGTGATGGAAGACCATGAAGTCGATGTCCACGTCAGCACCATCGAAACGCACCATTTTAGCATGGCCTCCCTAGGGGTGGGCACGGGTCGGGTACCCCCAATTTTTTGAAAACTCTGTCTCGTCTTCATTACCACGGGTTTTACAAAAATATTATCTCAGTTTTGGCTTCATAATACTTGTAGCTCGGGTTTAATGAGATTATCGGTCTTGTACTCGTGGGTACCCGGACCCATACGATTTATAAAATTTTGAACTATAAAATGATAGATATAGAAAATACAAATGAGAGAGGTCAAAGTATAAAGAGAAAAATTCACGATGAAGAGAGATGAGTAAAATTTTGAGAGAGAGATGAATGATTGATTCGGTTACATAGAATGAGATTTGGAATGATGAAATTTTTGTATAGAAAGGTTTATAACATAAAAAAATTGAACTAAAATAAAAGTATTTTAATAAATAATAAGAATAATTTAGACAAAAATATTATAGATATAAAGTATATTTTAGATTTTTAACAAATATACCGGGTACCCCCGGGTACCCTTTGTAAAATAATTGAAACCCCACTCGGACTGGGGGTCGAAAACTTAGTCTTATTAATGTTCGATCTCATCATCGTTAATATTCGGGTACCCTTTATTTGGGTACTTGTTAAGCCGGGTACCTCCAAACCCCCTGATTACGGGTTAAAACGCCCACCCCTAGGCCTCCCAAGTTTTCCTCTTTTTCGTACAACACGACTTCAACTCCATCTCTAGCAAGATCATGTGCAGCTCCCAATCCGCTTATCCCTCCTCCAATAACCGCAACTCTCATCTTCGATCTTTCTTTTGAGGTAGTTGGTCTAAAATTTTATCAGAAATAAGATTGGACCGATGAAAAATCATCTCCACTTATACTATTATATATGGCATTTACATTTTTACAAAAAAAAAAAATCATCTCCACTTAGTGACGCAGAATATGTAGAACTCAATTCCCATTCAACCAACATAAAAATTATCCATAAAGGAAAAAAAATAATTTTCATATTGAGAAATGATCTTTAATGACTAATATTAAATAATGTATAAACACCGAAATGTGACATTTGTTTATCAAATTAAGACATGTTTATCAAAACTTAAACGGATAAATGGATATACACTTAATTATGAATGTAGAAGTATGTAATCAGGCCATGACTTTGTTTACCTATCTACCCTTTTTTTGTATATGTGTGTGGTTGCTTATATCCCAATAATTTCTTCGCGTGGATAATTAAATAATAAATATATGATAACACAAATAACCGTCTTGAAGTGGATTTGGCGGAAAATATGTAAAATGAATCGGAATTGAAAGCATCCACGTATGTGGATGTGACAATACAGGATACCATAGAAGGGTGAGAAGTGATCACCGGTGTGAGAGACACGAATAAGGAGCGACTCCTGACAAACTTTTGGGTAGGGGTATAGGGATGAATCGAATGCACCGAAATGAGAAGGATCCGAGGGTTGTATAAGTATGAGACTACACAGTTAGAGATAACTTAAAGAAATTAATTGAGCTACTCATAGCAACAAGATGCATCTACCTTTTCGGTTAACCATTTCGAGAGAACTCCAAAGTTAAGCGTGCTCGCTTTGAAGTAATCTTAGAATGAATGACCTCCTGAGAAGTATTTTCTGAGATGTTTGCGAATGAGAATAAAACACGCTAAAAGATGTCTGTTGGTGTGTGAGGACAGCTTTGACATTCTGTAGCGGTCTGGAGTTGTTACCGTGGACTTCACATTGTAAATAACGTTTTCATTAGAAAAAATAATGATTAACAAAAAAAAAACACCACAGAAAATTGCCCTTGTGTCTCGAGAATTTATTACATGAAAAATCCCAAAAAGGAAAATATATTGGTCAGAGTTCTACGGGACACTTAAAAAATGTTGTCGGTTAAATTGATAGAGATTGAAAATGGTTTCGTTTTTATCTTTAATATTGCCACTTTCCAAAATAAAATTTAATTTGGAAAGGTGAGTTTGAGAATGTTAAAAATACGAAATTTTCTTATACTAAAAAAATTAATTTGCATATGTTATATGATCATTGAAATGATTTGTTCGTAATATTAGTTGTAATTAACTTGATAAAAGGAGGGGAAATATATAACAGTTTGAATTCCAGTATGTGGTAATAATTTTGAATGACATGTTGTCTGAAATTGAACAAGATTCATATGTAGAGATCACATTGTACGGTAACATTCTCTTGTTGTCCGAACACCAGATCAAGGTATGAAAGCTCTTTATTCATACATCAAATTATAGAGAACACATACAGAAAAAACACATAAACTCAAAGCCCCACCATGCAAAGCAAGAGTGAAGTACTTATGTATTGATGATAAAGAACTTGAAACGTTCATATAGTTTTCCGTTTAAGGGCAAGAACAACGAGCCAAGGGAAGTTCGTGTGTGGATCTCCGAACATAGCTGTGTTTCTAGGACAAGAAAACACCACCTACAATCCGCGAAAACACGAAATATGTTATACAACATCAAGTTAAATATAGCAGAATCAGTCATGAAAGCTCTTGTTCATACGTCAAATTAACATGACTAGAACTTATGCTTTGATGCAAAAGAACTCGAAACGTTCATATGGTTTTCGGTTTAAGGGCATGAACAGCAAGCCGAAGGGAAGTTCATGTATGGATCTCCGAACGTAGCTGTGTTTCCAGGGCGAGAAAACACCACCTACAACCCGCAAAAACACGAAGTATGTCATCCGAGATCAAGTTATGTATCGCATAAATGCTCCTTTTTTACCTGGTAGTCTCCGACTGTAAGGGTCTTGAAACCAGCCGCACAGTAGTCAAAGTAATATTCCCACTTTCTGATGAATTTCTCGTCGAATCCGATAGCCTTGATTTCTCTGCATGGGTATCGGTTTCTCCATGTAAGAAACTAATATGAATGTGTTGGTTACAGAGAGCGAACGAAACAATGAAAGATATGATCTTCCTTTACTCACTCTTGTCTCTCCTTGAAGTTTTGTCTCCAACATCTCAAGGTCTTGTAGTAATGGATTCCGATGTTTTCAACGTGTTCAATGCTGCGTTTCCACGAGATCTCAGATACAGATAAAGATGAGTCCGTGAAGTTTTTTTATAGTCTGTTAAAGAAGAAGACTTACCATAGCCTTGATGAAGAAGCCATTGCAGATGTTACCCTGGTTAAAGAAGGAAGGCATCCACCGGGGAAGATATATTCTGTAATGAAACCCGGACTCAATCTGATCTCGTCGTAACGTGAATCGGGGACTGTTATGAACTGATGTCCAAACGCAAGAAAATTCATTAAGATCGTTAAAAAAAAAAAGAATATCCTGAAAGAAATAGTGAGAGAATGAGGACAGTAATTACTTGCAGAACAAGTAAGCCATCTTCCGCAAGCACAACTTCACAGCGGTTGAAAAATATCTCCATAAACTCATGCCCAACCGCTTCTATCATCCCACTGAAAACATTGATAATCTTTCCATTAAGCATAATTTAAGCCATCGGTTTATACAACAGAGATATGATATTTCTTACCACGCTATAATTCTGTCATATTTACGCGAATCAGAGAGTTGGCGATAATCGCAGAGTTCAAATGTAATCCGATCCTGAAATCAAGACATAAATTTTCTCAATTAGTTATTCTCTTTGTTGGTTGTTCTCTTCCCTCGTTACGGTTGTGAAAAAAGATATTCTCTCAGTTATATAAACACCTGAAGCCCAGCTTCTTTAACCTTTGCTTCAGCATATTTGAGTTGTTCGACCGATAATGTAATGCCGGTATATTTGCATCCAGTCCTTCTTACAACTTCTATAGCAAAGATTCCCCAGCCGCATCCGATCTCCAAAACCTTGTGGTGCTTCTCAATCCTCGCCTGAAAATGTTTTTACCATAATGACAGAAAAATGAGAACATTCGGTTCGTGTGTTGTAATAGCACAACGTTATCTTTTGTATTTCTTTGTCAAGATTGCTTACCTTGTCAATCAGAAGAGAAATTTTTCTCATCTGTCCTGTTCTCAGATCCTCATCATCGGACTACAAAAGTGTTAAAACCCGAATAAGAGAAGGCTTTTAGTAGAGAAACTTGATCGAAGTTTAATCTATCACCTTGAACACCGCACACGAGTATTGCATCGTCTCATCCATAAATAAAGCAAACAACTCGTTACTCTGTGAGATTTATGGTAAAATAAATTAGAGTAAGTTCGTCGAGATTGAAAACATATGTAAGGATCTATAAGAATATTTACCAAATCGTAGTGAAACGAAACGTTCCTACAAGATTGTGTTAAAGTGTTCTTTCGGTAGACATGCTTTAGAAAGTACTTTGCTGAGGCTAAACTGGCGGTAAACAACATCGGTGTCCACCAACCCCTAAATAGATCAGACAAATACACGACAGAATTAGCATATCGAGCTTATAGTGCATTCAGTGAAATGTTCACTACCTTTTCTTCGCAAGATTTGATTTTGATGAGTTTAGATCTCTATTAGCTATGAGAATCTGCATGCAAAAGATCAAATCGAATGATGAAAAAAAGAAAGAAAAAGTCTCAGGTTGTATTGTATGTGTATCTACCATGATCATATTCAGAAGTCCCTCGTCTTTATCAACGAACGAAATATCTCCATTGATATAAGCATCTGCGAGGCCTAAATCTGCCTCTGTCATCACCTGGCAGAATCAAGAATCTAATTCTTGAGTGAGCACTCGAAGAACAACATCCACAACTTCATCTCTGTAGTTTACCTTCCAGTAAAACTGTGGACTGTGAATCTTGATAACAGATTTCAAAGTACATTTTGGATGTTTTCCGCCGAATTTAAACACTGTTCCTCCATCTTCTAGTAGCCTGTCAATCGCAAGATGAGAAAATGTGTTGGCATTAGAAGAAAAAATTTCATATAGAGAGTTACTGACTTCGGGGTTTAGGTCGGGACTTACGCAACGTAACCCATTGAGATGAATTGTCCCATGAATCTGGTGACAAAAACTCTAGCCGCTGCTTCAGCAAACGATGGGACCATGTGTTTCAGATTGCTCACAAGAGCGATCT